TACAGTAGCTACCATGACACTTCATTTTTTGTGAATGCTTCCTGCGGGCTGCGACGGAAACGGCATGTCAATCTCTCAAACGTGCGCTCCCGGCTCTCCAGATGTCTGGCGAAACATCACAGCCATCATGATACACACCTTCATCTTCAAGTCTTTTGCGTTATGGCTATAAGATGATTTCACCTTACCTGCAACAGAGAAGTTGTTACCTTCTTCATGTGTGGATGTTAGAATAACCCTACTGAGGTGGGCCATGGCTGACCCGCAAAGCCCGCCTGAAACGCCGACGCCGTCGAACAGAAAGCTCGCCGATCCTCGTCCGAAGGCCTGGCTCGGTCAGAACGGGCCTTTGATGTTGGTCATGAATCATTGCTCTTAGGCTCTAAGCCAGAATTTGCCGGGGAATAGAGCCCCTCTGGGGCCTATAGGGCTTAGGATCCCTCGGCTTGGAATGCAGAATCTTTTGGAGGTCCGCAGGCCTCCTACCCTCTCCCAAAAAAAAACCCCAAGCCCTAAAGCCAAGCTGGTTTCGGGGGTTCAGCGGTTTAGCGCTTTAGGATTTAGGGTTCAGGGTCATTGGCCTTTTTGGCCTTTGACCGTTTAAGTAGCGTTCACTTTCAGGTTTGGGGTTGCCGTACGTTGAGGTCCCTGCGCAGCGGGACCTAAGTACCTACCTGTGAAAAAAGTCTCACACCTGAGATTGTTCAGCAAACGCATGTCGGGGGTTTTTTGTGAGGGTGCCTGGCTCCGGTCAGCAGGGTTCAGTGTTTTGGAGATTTGAGGGGGGAAGTTCAGGGTTGGAGTATGGCTCAAGACCAGCGATGCACCACCCAAGCCAAACACCTCAACACTCAACCGGGGATTCTAAACTCTAAACACCCCTAAACCCTAAACCCCCCCTAAACCTAAATACCGAAACCCTAAGCCCTTAACCCGAGAACTTGCACTACAAAGCTCAAACAAAGGTGTGTTCAGGGGCCTCCCTGAATGAGCTTAACACCCATAGGCCCGACATGCAACTTGGGCCCGAGCTTGCTTCAGCTTCTAGGTGTTTCAAGCTCTTGGTAACAACACGGGGGGGGCGTGTTGGGAACATGGCCCACGTGTACGGCGCACCCGGAATTTGAGTCGGGAACAGCTGCCACCCAGAATTGGGTCCGAGTTCCAGGCTGAGGTTTGGAATGTTCGGGTCTTGGCCCTTCCTCCGTGAAGGCACGTGTTCCCAACACGCTGGCCTGGGAGTGTTCCGGACACGTGCCTGGCGTGTTCCCGACACAGCTGCGGGCTGTTCCCAACACGCACCCCCCCTGTTCTCGACACGCGTGTGCCCAACACACCCCAGTTGCAACCAACACGACTAACATTCCTTCAGTTTTTCATGGAAGGTTTGGCCTCTTTGCACACGTTTTTCCCGCGGATGGTCTCAGTTCTCTCAGCCATCGGATCACGCAGCGAATTCGCGGGCACGCCTCAATGCGCAACGCGTGGTAGAAGAAGGGGCTGCTGCTTTTCTTACTGTTGGTTAGTAGGGCATGAAGGGAATGAAGTACCCTAAATAATCCCTGAAAGGGTAGATACAGGGCCCTCATTCCCTCATCCCCTGCTAACCAGCAGTAAGCTTCAGCGATGCAACCCTAAACCCTAAACCCTTTGTCTACAGACTTCCGGCCCACCCAGCATGCGGAAAAGAAGCGGAAGCCGAAGCTCGCCTGGAAGGCCCTACACCCCTAAACACCTCAATTTTTTTGAACCCCTAAACCTTAAACGCTAAACCCTAAACCCTAAACCCAAGCCCTAAACCCTAAACCCTAAACCCTAAACCCTAAACCCTAAACCCTAAACCCTAAACCCTAAACCCTAAACCCTGCCCCTAAACCCTTAGTTAGAGCTATAACCACTTGAAGTTGCACCGCCCAGGAAGCCTGAAGTCACCGCGTCCTCCGGTGATTCTGAGTGCCCCGGCAGCCAAGCTCTGTGTGCCTGGAGCATCGTTGGTGTCAGAGCTTTAAACGGAAAAACCCTAAACCCTAAGACTCCCCCCCCCCCTTCAGAAGTCCACGCATGGGGGGGGCATTCGTTGGTTTCCGTATGTCGGGCGGGGCCTTGCAAGGCGCGCGTCCCTTTCCGAGCCTGTGCGGGCCAGTTTAGGGTTTAGGGTTTAGGGTTTAGGGTTTTGGGGTTTAGGGTTTAGGGTTTAGGGTTTAGGGTTTAGGGTTTAGGGTTTAGGGTTTAGGGTTTAGGGTTTAGGGTTTAGGGTTTAGGGTTTCGGGTTTCGGGTTTCGGGTTTCGGGTTTCGGTGCGTATGTTGGGGGTTGTTAACATCAGGATTCTACGACATTGAGGGGACAGGCGTTCTTTTGGGAAGCAAAACACCCTTACCCGAAGCGATTTCTCTCGCGAACAGTCCTTTTCCCGATTCGGAGGCTTCCTTCCGGCTTCACCGGAGGAAGCCGCCCTGACTCTTCGCCACTGGAATAAAAGGCCTGGCATCAAGCAACCTCCTGAGGCGCTGGGTACATCTGGGCACATCGCCAAGCAGGCTATGTACTACTTGGGAGCTGGTCAAGAGCAGAAGAATCTGATGGCAAAGCTACCAAATACTTCAGCACGTTGCAGAATCGATCGGCAAGTTGCAGCAGACGTGGCCTATGCAAAGCTCGTAGAGTCCGCGCCTCTGCGCCCGGGCTGCAGCTGTGACACCAGCTTCTTCGCCTCCTCCTGGGCGGTGGGGCTGCCGGAAACCGAGAGCTCCGCGGCCGCGGCCAAAGCCCCCGCCGTCTTGGCCTCGGCCAGGTTCTCGGGGCGGAAGGTGAGGTTCCAGAGGGCCCCTGCAGCCCTCTCCTGCGCCACGGAGGTTCCGTGGGTCAGCAGCTCCACGAGAGGGCGGACAGCGCCAGCTCGGGCGATTTCGGCCTCGTTCTCGTCGTTGGCTGCCAGGTTCCAGAGCGCGCCAGCGGCGTTCTCCTGCGCCACGGGCGTGCCGCGGGTCAGGAGCTCAACCAGGGGAGGGATGCCCCCAGCACTGGCGATGGGCAACTGGTTGCCCACGTTGGCTGCCAGACTCAGCAGCACCGCGGCGGCTTCCTCCTGCCCCACCAACGTCCCGCGCGTCAGGAGCTCGACGAGGGGAGGGATGCCCCCAGCCCCTGCGATGGACAGCTTGTTGGTGTCGTTGACGGCCAGGTTCGAAAGCGCCAAAGCAGCATTCTCCTGTCCAGTGGGCGTCCCCCCTCTCAGGAGCTCGACCAGCGGAGGGATGGCTCCCGCCACGGCGATGGGCACCTGGTGGACTTCTGAAAGTCAGAATAGAGTCTCCCAGAACGGGCCCGAAATCAAACCCCTAAACTACATGGAACAGAGGGGTGTATGAAAGAGGCTTTCAATACAAAAAGGGACCCACAACCAAGCCAAGCCCCCGACCTGGTTTGCATTATTTGCGGCCAGATTGGACAGTGCCAGCGCGGCCCTCTCCTGCGCCACAGGCGTCCCATGACTGAGGAGCTCCACCAGCGGGGGGATGGCCCCAGACCGCGCCACGAGCGCCACCGCGGCGTTCTCCTGCCCAACTGGGGTGCCGTGGCTCAGGAGCTCCACCAGCCTTCAGGACCAGCCTTATACCCTAAGAGGGATTTATGATTATTTATGGTAGTATAGGGCATATGATCCCAATTCTAGAGAGATCGTTTGGTCCCCAAGGAGCATGGCTCCATGTCGGTCGTCATCTGTCAGCTTCCTGAGCTCCGGAAGCCGCAGGTGCGCAGCCCGGTCGGCCTGCACCTGCACGCCGCCCTTGGGGTCCTCCCCCTTCCTGAACTCCAGCTTGGCGGCCTCGAGGAACTTCTCCGCCTGCAGGTAGAGCTGGTGGAGCTCCCAGATGGCCACCTCGCAGCTCCCAGAATCCGAGGCCGCGATGCTGATGGCCGGCCCCCGCGCCTTGATCTCCTCCCCGTCGCGGCGGCACTGCTCCCGGGGCAGCTTCCGGAAGTCGAAGACCTCGCGCAGCCGCGCCACCACGAGGCTCCGCAGGGTGTCCAGGAAGCCGCGGAGGTCCGCGCTGGCGCCCTCCTGGGCCACGAAGGCGAAGACGAACTCGTCGCCCCCGAAGCGGAAGGGAACGCAGAGGGCCTCGCGCTGCTGGCTGTTCCATGCCTTGGGATCTTCCCCCTTATACTAACAGCCCTTAATCGGGATTATCCTAAACCCTAAACCCTAAACCCTAAACCCTAAACCCTAAACCCTAAACCCTAAACCCTATGAAGGACTGTTCCAGGCCTCGCACTGCTCCGCAATGACCTCGGCGACCTGGATGATGGCAAAGTCCCCGTGCGCGTGGGACCAGCAGTCGTTCACCACCTTCTTACTGTTGGGGTTAGGGTTTAGGGTTTAGGGTTAGGGTTTAGGGTTTAGGGTTTAGGGTTTAGGGTTTAGGGTTTAGGGTTTAGGGTTTAGGGTTTAGGGTTTAGGGTTTAGGGTTTAGGGTTTAACGGGTTTTTAAAGGGCCCTAAGTCCCTCATTCCCTGCCTTGAAGTGGTCCAAGTCGGCTGAGGCCATGGTGAGCACCAGGGGCTTCCCACTTAGCATCTCCAGCAGCTCACCATAGAACGCCTTGCACCTGAGCAGGGGTTTAGGTTTAGGGTTTAATATTTAGGGTTTAGGGTTTAGGTTTAGGGTTTAGGGTTTAGGGCTTAGGGTTTAGGGTTTAGGGTGCACCTGAGCAGGGTCAGGGGATCGTAGAGGATCCCATTCAGCTCCAAGCGCTTCTTCGCGGCCGCCACGAACTTGGCGTCCAGGATTGCCAAGTCAGCCTCCCTCTTCTGCCACTCCGTCTGAAACTCCACGGTGAGCTTCTGACGATTCCCGCCGGCCTGGCGCAGCTGCTCGGAGGAGAGCCGAAGGTTGTGCAGCGTCCTCTGGATGGAGGCCTTGAAGTCCCGCTCCAGGCCCTTGCTGAGGCACAGCCTCGCGAGCTCGGCGCGGAAGTCGTCCAGGGCGCGCGACATGGCTGGGCGTGCGTCGCGCTGTTGCCCATCAAGCTAAGCCCCAAGCCTTCAACCCTCAACCCCAAAGCGCCTCAAACCCTAGACCCCTGAAACCCTAAAACCCCCAAACCGTAAAAACCTAAACAGCATAGCTGAACCCGATTCACGTTTAACTTTCCAGAAGGCCAGTCATGTCGCAGCCCTAATTACGTGCAAATAGCTGAACCCTAAACCCTAAACTCTAAACCCTGCTTGAACCGGCAGCCGGGGGGGTTCAACTCTCAGAAGGGGTTCTCAGAGAGGTGGTGGGATGCAGGTTCAGGGCGTCTGAGAGGTTCAAAGGTGGGTCCCAGCAGGGTCCCAGAGAAACATGGAAGGGGGGTTTAGGGTTTAGGGGGGGAAGGGTTTTAGGGTTTGGGGCGGTTTGGGGTTGTTGGAATTTGAAACCTTGCCTGCAAGGCCCGAAACCCTCAACCCTAAACCCTAAACGCTAAACCCCAAACCCTAAACCCACCTTTCGCCAGCAGCCATCATAGTGCTGCGCGCAAGTCGCATTGCCCGAGGAACTCTGCGTCGGTAGGGTTTTTTGTTAGGTTTCAGGCCTTAGGGTTTGCGGCTTTAGGGGTTGAAGTTCCCGGGTTCAGGGTTACACCCAGCCTCTCGGCCCCTTAGGGCTTAGACGTGGATTTTTTGGCTGGGTGTCTGCTACATTAAGCCCAATTTAGCCCCGGGTGCCAACAGAATGAGGCCCAAAAAGGCTTGACTGTTGGGGTTTCGGGGCCTTAGGAAATTTAGGGCTTAGGATTTAGGGTTTAGGGTTTAGGGTTTAGGGTTTAGGGTTTAGGGTTTAGGGTTTAGGGTTTAGAGTGTATGATGCAACCCGAAAGCCATGAACCCAAAGTCGTCTTGGCGCCTCGCGAAAGGGATGGCTGAGGACGCAAACGGATGCACGCAGGAACTTACACGAAACATGCTGTCTCCAAAGGCAACCTCAAACAAACCTCAAAAGGAAAAACAACCTACATAGGAACTTACGTATAAGTCTTCGGTCCGAAACAAACCTGTGATCCTTAAACGAACATGTTCTTCACGACTCTAATGTTGATTGACAGCCCCTTTACAGCGCACGAAACCGAACAGCTTCATGCAGACCCTGGACCCTAAACCCTAAACCCGAGAAGAACCAACAAGGTTCGGCAACACCTTTCTGGAGTGTGGGGGGTAGGGTTTAGGGTATAGGGTTTAAGATTTAAGGTTTCGGGTTCAGGGTTTAGGGCTTCGTGCATTTCAGTGATTTCGGGCTCTGTCGGGCCTCCTTGAAAGTTGGGCTATGGCGCTTTGTGAGCTAGTGGCGTGTTGGCGCTTTCGGGCGGTGTCTGCATCTAAACCCTCAATCCTAAACCCGAAGCCCTCGCCGCAAAGGGCCTAAACCCCAAACCGAAGCCCCAAACCTTCAACCCCAAGGGCACCCAGACACTGAACCCTGAAGCCTGAACCCTCTAAACCCTGTAACACCTATAAACCCCATAAACCCTATCAACCCTATCCACCCTATCAATCCTACGAACCCTATAAACCCTGAAACTAGAAACCCCATAAACCCTATAAACCCCAACACCTAGAAACCCTAAACCCTAAACCTCAGACCTCTTTCCTCGCGCGATGGTGAGAGTTGCCCCTTCCCACGCTGGCTTCCAGCCGCCCAGCCCACACAGGAGCTCGGCAGTGGCTCACCCAGCGCGGCGGAGGCCTCGAGCTGTGGAGGGTTCGGTTTAGGGTTTAGGGTTTAGGGTTTAGGGTTTAGGGTTTAGGGTTTAGGGTTTAGGGTTTAGGGTTTAGGGTTTAGGGTTTAGGGTTTAGGGTTTAGGGTTTAGGGTTTAGGGTTTAGGGTTTAGGGTTTAGGGTTTCGGGTTTAGGGTTTAGGGTTTAGGGTTTAGGGTTTAGGGTTTAGGGTTTAGGGTTTAGGGGTTTAGGGTTGAGGGTTTAGGGTTTAGGGTTAGGGTTTTTTTCGGGTTTAAGGGTTTAGGGTTTAGGGTTTAGGGTTTAGGGTTTAGGGTTTAGGGTTTAGGGTTTAGGGTTTAGGGTGTGTCAGGGGAGGGCGCGCGCTCGGGTGTGAAACACCCCGGGCCGCGCGCTCGCGTTGCCCGTCAACCCACCCCGGCCACCCAAACTATACTCTATTAGGGTTTAGGGTTTATGGAATTTATTTTCTTGTGCCCTGATGCTTGCTTTGATGTTGTTAAAGTTGCGCTGTTAGGGTTTAAGCTGGGGTTGGGCCCTTTTCGGGCCTTCGGCGTGTCAGGGCCCGTAGAGGCCCTTATTTATTTGAAGATCAGGGAAACCCTTTGTGCCTGCTCCTGGATTCCCCTTCTTTAAGGGCCTCAAGCCTTTTGGTGGCTCTTGGGGCCCCCTTTTGGGGGCTTCCTGGGGGCCTTCCTGGCCCTTCCGGGGTAAAATGAAGGGGTGCCCAAAACCATCGATTTCAGTACAAAACATCGCATTTTTCATTGCGGGTACGGGCATCCTGGGGTCCCCCTTCTTTTAGGGGGCCTCTTGAAGTCTTTTGAAGCCTTTTGGTGGCTCTTGGGGTCTCTCGGGGCCTTGTTCGGACCTTCGGCGTGTCAGGGGCCGTAGAGGCTTTATTCATTTGAAGGTCAGGGAACCTGTTAATTTTTTTTCGCCAATGAGTATTTCAATCGCTAGGGTTTAAGCTGGGGTTCGGGGTCGCCTCGGCCCTTTTCGGGCCTTCGGCACGTTAGGGCCCGTAGAGGCCCTTATTTGCTTGAAGGCCTTTGCAGGGTTTTGCGGTGTTAGGGTTTAAGCTGGGGTTCGGGGTAGCCTCGGCCCTTTTCGGGCCTTCGGCACGTCAGGGAGCCTCCTGGTCCAGGAATCCAGCTACCAGGGGCCAGGGTTCGGGGGGGGGGGGGCCCGGCAAACCCTGAACCCAAAACCCTGAACCACCTCCAGAGGCAAAGGGTTATGATTTGGGCCTTTAGCTACGCTAAAGGTGGTCTGGGTGCCTGCCATCCTTTGGCCGAGTACTGACGTTGTCGTAAAAAGGCCGATGTCCGTTGGCCTGTCCAGGACAGACGGTGAGGCTTAACCCTCACCTTTCCGTTTCTCTTTTCGCTTGGGCGCTCGGGCTGTAAGGCCCTCGGCCGAGCGTTCGGGGTCTGTCGCTCGACGGAAGCGACCCCTCACTTAGTTTAGGGTTTAGGGTTTAGGGTTTAGGATTTAGGGTTTAGGGTTTAGGGTTTAGGGCTTAGGGTTTAGGGTTTGATGGGGGGATGGGGTTCAAGGGGGTGTTCTGGTTTGGTTTGGGGTTTAGGGTTTAGGGTTTGAGGGTTAGACAAGAAAGACCAACCGCCCTGAACAAACTCACCGGGCCTGTTTCCATCCACGCACTGCTGCGAGCCAGCATCCTTGAGCCAGGTCGAGTAGCTGCATGCCTCCACACACGTTGGGTTTACGTGCCGTTTTCGACACCAACCCCCCTTGGAACGTGTGTCAGGAGGTCTTATCAAAAGAGGAAGGTTCTAGGTTAGCTCGTCGGATCCCTTCGAGCTCTTGCTCTCGATCCCTAAAACGGCTTTTGCACAAACGCTTCCTATGACCAGCTTGCTCCCTCAGGCGTTGGGCTTCAGGTGTGTCCTTCAGAGACCAGGGACCTCCTCGCATCACTTGATCCCGTACGCCGTTGCCATACTCCTTGGTCAGGCCATCGGAGGGCATGCACAAGCCGGGTACCCACCGAATCCATCGGTTGGATTGTGGCTCGTAGAGTGACTCCTTCAAGATCGCGATGTCGATCGCCAGACGCTTATCCTCCCCATGAGAGATGCTGTTGAGCACGTCGTAGCCCGTCTTCGAGTCCATCACTAGGACCTCTCGCCAGCGGCCAGCGCTCCACAGCCATGATGACAAAACGAAGCCAGGGTCAAGGGCTTCCGCCATCACCGCCCGCACAAAGTCGCATTGCTCCAAAGTTTCCGCCGCCAACGAAGATCGAACCACCCGCTTGATGACCGAGCTGTGGTACAGGAGGCAATTCACAAGGCTAGGCCCTTCCAAGACGCTCTCGTGGGCCACCAAGATCATCATGCCTCCTTGCGACCTCCCTTTTGGCATACTTCCATGTGAAGCATCACTGACGGCCAGAAACACCATCTCATCCAGCGGGCCCGGGAGGGCTTGGTAGTAGCACTCGTAGCTCTCCTTTGCCTTCTTCACCAGCTGCGCCAAGAACTTCAGTGTTTCTGGATCTCGGGCCCCCGACATTTGTTGCACCTTCGAGATGCCGAAGGCCAGGTCCGCTCGACCTTGTCTGGCCATCCAGTTGATCTGGCCACCCACCGAAGACACCCACTTCCGTTCGGCATCTGTCAGCGGGCTTTTGTCCTGGGGATCTCGTCGAGGGGGCTCTTGCAACTTCTGGGCGTAACCGTCCATGGTGATGGTTACCTTGAAGGTCTGAGGGCACTGTTTTTCCCATCTCCCGCAGAACTTCACCAGCTCATTCGTCGCCGATCTCCACTCTCCGAAGCTGAAGGTTTTCTTCAAGGCCACCAGGACATACTCCGCCTTCGGGTGAAATCCCATCCTCAGATCATCGACGTGAATCGTCATGATCCCCATGAAGCGGCCTCGAAGATGTAGCACGAACGTGCCCGGCGACAGTTTGAGCTCCTTGAGCCCCAGCTCCTCCAGGCCCCTCTTCAGGCGTTGGTACCATAAACGAGGGGACTCAGACAGTCCGAAGCCTCCCTTAACCAGGCGGACGACGTCTCCTCTCAGGGTTCCTTTGGCTTTGCTTTGAAGTCTGCTTCTGAGGTGCTCATTCACGGCGTCGGGGTAGCCCTTCGGGAGGCGAATGTAGACTACCCTCTCATCGTCCAAGGTCTCGCCCTGCAAGAAAGCCGCCGAGATGTCGGCGTACAGCATCTTCCACCCAAACTGGGCGCAAACGAAGCAGACCATATTGTGAGCCACTAGACTCGCCGTCGGAGCCTCAGTGGCCCATT